TATCTGTTAAGATTTATTAACCGTTCATATGCGCCTTTTTTTTTAAGGTGAACACATTTTACATATGATTATAGTCTGGTCCTGATTTTTTAAAAAAAATGGCTGGAAATAACTTCTAACGGCAAATAATTATTATTTGGTCCAGCATAGTTTTTTAACCTAATTCGAGTATGCTAAATCCGAAAAAATATGCCGGCCTTCATGAAAATGGCGTTAAAGAGGTCAAAATGGCGGACATCCAATCTTTCTAATTTTCTCTGAACGTCGTTCAAAATGGAGAAGTAATGAGTGAATATCTTACTGAGTGTAATAAAACTATAAAAAATATAATAAAATGCTAACATTGTTAGTTTAACTCAGAAAATTTAGCCGTTTTTTTTTCACTTAATTCGAATTTTCTCTGATTTATTTGTCTATTGTTTCTTTATTGTCGTTTGTTCAGGATTTTACATTTGCAAATATCCATACACTGCAGATTTATAATTTTTCCTCTACATCTCATTATTCTACAATTTAATGATGGTGCAGCTGTAAGTTTAAAGTCAAAATGGCGATTCATAATGGCGGATATTCCTTTTTATCAAATTATTTCTAATTGTCGTTTACATAGGAGAAAGGATTTGTGAATATTTTATTGAGCGATGTACAATAAGGTAAAATTCCAGTAGAACACTAGTATGATCACTTTAAATCGGAAAATTTAGTCGTTTAAATTTAAAATGTGTTTAGCTCAAAATGGCAATTCGAATGACGTGTTATACACTCGATTTCGTAAAATACCCAAACTGCATAATTCTGATTTGTTTTGCAGAAAATAAATAACAGTTTTTTTTTCATGAAATAATATGAAAAAAAAAAATGTAATGGAAGTTAATGGATATTTTCATTAATGACTTAGGATTTTTATAAAACGGATTTTTGTTTAATTACTTCTATTATTAAGATAATTTTTTGAGGACAATTCCAAAGACATTTCACCTATTATCCATCATACATGTATCATGCTTCTTCATATAAAAAGTTAATAATATCATACAATAATTGCTGTTTTGAGGACAATTTGAAAATTAAGCTACCCCAAGAGCAGTATTCCTGAGCATTAAGGTGAGTGAACATTGTAGTTCGAGGGTTGCTAAATCATATCAGTTGTTGGAAATTCTTGATCTAATTTTAGTCCAGTGTAGAAAAAAATATTTATGTTCATGTGGAAGATCTAGTGCAACATAACTTAGTATGATTTTTAAAATGATGAACCACGAGCAATTAGATTGCTAGTAATTGTTACATCATATAAATCTGAATATCTTATAATATCCAAACATAAACATATTTATTAAGAATTATCAGTATAATATACGTAAACCATATTTTTTTTGACTGTCCAGCTCTGATTCTGCGTCCCTACATTTGCATTTTGTTATTCTCAGTTAAAAATTCAACTGCATTCTCAAATATTTCATGGTGTGAACGGTCCTCCTCCACCAATTTTGTATTGAACAGTGTATATAAATTTAAAAAATTTTAAACTTACAAAATCTGAAAGAAGTTCAATCCTTCCTCGATTCTTGATACAACTTTACACTATCCTAACGAAGAAGTGTGGATCAAGTTGCCTTGTAAAGTTCTTGGAGTGTTCAAGAAAATTTTGTTGTCAAGAGAAGTGTTGACTAGATCGAAGTCAGAATGGCTTCTGTCTATTGTACGAAAGCTTGTAAGTGATAGGAATCACGAGGAATCTGCAGGCGCTATTAAATTGCATAACTTTACAACTTTTCTCACCAAAATATGCACACAATGTGATTCCAGATGATGAAGTTTGAGAATTTTCTTGCTAATAGAATGACCTTTCTACCCAAAAAGAAAACAAATCTATACGCGGTCACGAAATAAAGAGCTACAAGTCTTAAATATCAGAGATTTTTTTTTATAACCCCCCCTCCCCCGATTGAAAAGCTGGAGGGTATAGAGTAGTCGGTATGTCCCTCCGTCTTTTACGCTTTGGGGTACCCGTCTCCTATCCGCAACTCGTCTCATACCACTGAATGAAATTTGATAAACTTTCACAGAACCTTTATTACATATTGCCATTGTGCACCTCCTCTTTTACTTTTTGATCCAACACATATTTTGGGTTTCACATAGCAAAACATGGACACTGTGTATTCATAGATATTCATATGGGTGACGGGGTATCATTTAGTGAGCTAATTGCCCACAGTACCTCTTCTTCATTTTCCATAAGGTTTTGGAAAACAAAATAGACTTTTAACATTTGAACATAAATGTATTTTTTGAGTGTTGATTGATAGTATATTGTTTAACGCAGAGTCGGTTATTTTTCAGCCATGTTTCGGCGGACTATCAGTTTAAATAATCGGTTTTTGGAGGATTTTGGTTTCTCTGGTGCCCCCCTGTGAGCTTACGCTTTTTCGAACTCCAGAGAAAAGATCTTTTACGTGCCAAGTGGGTTGTCATCCTTGACACAGGGCACCGTTTTACTTGACTGTTGAAAATACCAAAATTCCGAAGACAGAGTGAAACATATAAAATAAAGCTGGAATAGAAGATGTTAGGGGATAATACTAAGTTCTTATAAGTGCTAAAAAGCTAGAACAAAGTATTCGATGAAATCGGAAATGAATTTCCTCAGTTATATTTGATGGTGTGCTGAGGGATGTTGAGGTAGAAATGCGAGTTGATAAAGACTGGATTCAGGAGTGATTTTAGGTGGACGGGGGTTCAAAGGCTCTGGAACACGGTCAAATACGAGGGGGAAAATTCGGAAACTCTTAAGTCGAGTTTGTTTTAACTATTTCCAGAAAAACATGAATCTTTTCTGATATTTTTTGTTCGTTCATATTTAATGGAATAATCAATATACTATAATTATATATAAAAAAACAAACTGTAATTTATTTTCAAAATTAAGCAGTTTGAGTTTTTTCGAAAATTCGAAATTCGAGTGAATATGACGTCATTTTGAGTTTTGTGCTAATAAACACATTTAAATTTAAACGACTAAATTTTCCATTTTAAAATGTTCATAATAGTGTTCTATTGGAATTTTACATTAGTTAATTGTACTCGCTCAATAAGATATTCAAAAATCATTTCTCCTATGTAAAAGACATTAAGAAATAATTTGAAAAAAGGAATATCCGCCATTTTGAATCGCCATTTTGACTTTAAACTTACAGCTGCATCATCATTCAATTGTAGAACTGTGAGATATAGAGGAAAAAATACAAATCTGCAGTGTATGGGTATTTGCAAAAGTAAAATCCTGAACAAAGAAGAATAAAGAAACAATAGACAAATAAATCAGAGAAAATTATAATTAAGTGTAAAAACGGCTAAATTTTCTGAGTTAAACTAACAATGTTAGCATTTTATTATATTTTTTATAGTTTTATTACTCTCAGTAAGATAATCACTCATTACTTCTCCATTTTTAATGACATTAAGAGAAAATTAGAAAAATTGGATGTCCGCCATTTTGAATCGCCATTTTGATCTCTTTAACGCCATTTTCATGAAGGCCAGCATATTTTTTCGGATTCAGCATTCTCGAATTAGGTTAAAAAACTATGCTGGACCAAATAATAATTATTTGCCGTTAGAAGTATATTTTTTCTATAAATCGGACCAGACTATAAGGGTTGGGTGAGGATGGTAATAAGTAAGATTTGTACGTAAACAATTCTGTCTCCTTGTGCAAAATTGATGTCAGCTAGCTGATAAATAACTTTCAGTAAATTTACTTCTGATATATTTTTAACCATGTAAACGAGTGGCCAATATCCAAAAGTTTTGTATGTCAAGCCTTTCTACTATTTACTCTTTCAATAAGAAAGGTACCTCTATAGCTTATAGAGATATCTTTATACATGCCTTAGAGAGATATCTCTTTGACTGATAGAGATATCTTTATACCTTAGAGAGATATCTCTTTCAACAAAAGATTTACATAAAAAGTGAATGAATAATATAAGAATAATGAATGTCTTTTTAAAATAAAAAGATATCTCTATTTGCATGAGAGATACTAGTATCTCTTTCCGACACTTATGATTTTTCCTTTACATTGAGAGATATCTCTTTAACTGAAAAGATATCTCTAGAAGTAAAATAGATATATCTCTCTAGGTAAAAAGAGATATTTCTTTTATCTTCAGAGATATCTCTTTTCACGAAAGGGATATCTCCCAAGGAGAAAGAGATATCTGTTTAAGTGAAAGAGATATCTCTCTATGAAAAATGTATATCTCACTAAGTATAAGAGATATCTCTCTAAGTTTAAGGTATATCTTCTTCTCAAAGAGATATCTCTTTAAGTTGTAAGATATCTTTATTTCTAAAGTGATATCTTTCTAAAATGAGAGATATCTCTGTAATTTTAAATTTTTTTATTTTCCAAATAAATAGCAAAAGGGCTTGCCATAAAAATGTGACATTATTAATGCTGCAATATCAATATTTTTCGTAGTTCTGATTTAAAATTGTTGATAAAATATAGCATTGTTGATTCATTAAAATATCATACTGATACACATGCAGACAGCGAGTGCAGTAGAACGTATCGCAAAAATTACTTTCACACACCAAAATTAAAATTTGCACACATTTAACACCTGTTAGCAAAAATCACTGATTTTAATCTATGAGAAAAGGACTGTAGAAGTTAACGGTTTGCCATATATCGGTGATACTCACTGACGGTCTCTAGTAAACAAGTAATGGAAAGGTGCTTACTAAGTTATTAGAAATATACAGATATCTTTTTCCCCTACCCCCCCCCCCTACCAGGAAACCACCTGAATCTTATTAAGAACTGGACACTGTTCTGCTTTACCAAATGCATCGTAGTGGCTCTTATGGATTATCACATCGTTCAAAAAACTGTGGGCCTTATACAGAAACACTTTTTCTTTGTAACAATGATTCATCATATACATAGAAATAGACAATGACAACTTATTAAACGCACTATGGTGAATATCTATATTTTAACTCTAACTTTCAGATTTTGAAATGGATTTATCATCCCTGGTTATTGTTCTGTTAACTGTCTTGGACACAGTAATTGGTAAGTAAAATGTTACATGTTAAAATCAGACTAATTTTTATATGTGGTTTGACATACAAAAACACGGACGACAAATTTGTCTCTGTAAATACTCTGTGGTTCAGAAATTCTAGAAGGAAGTGAGGAAATATCTTTTCTGCTCATAAGGTCCTGTAGTGTGAGTCACTAATAATTAAGTAGAGAGACTAATTATTAACTCGTATTGCATAAACATTAGTGCTTTAATATTGGCTTAAAGGTAAATGTCCCCAGAAGTCGTCTTAAGTGGATAAATTTTGCTTTATTTATAAATCAATCGTGAAATTAGAATGATTTCCTTATCTGTCTTATAGTAAAGAAACCGGAATTTGATGGAAATATTCTATTTATAATTTATAAATGTAATAAAGTACATGTATTTTTTTTTTTTTTTTGCATAGCAGTCCTTTATTTCATTTTGCTTTATTTAGGACTGAAATGCTCTAAATGTACTCACGTGGCTATAACGGACGCCCCTTTAACTCTCAGACCAATTCTCTCAAGCATTCCATTGACCGATAGTCCTCAATGTGCCAGCACCCCTCCAGGACAAGCAGCCGATGGCGTGAGTTTGGTTGAGTGCCCAAGTAATCAAACGTCAGGACAAGTGTACAAGTGTGTGACCTACACCGGCACTGTCACCGTGGAAGTAAGCGTTCCCATCGTCTCACGTAAGATTGTCTGAATTAATAATAGATGTGTGAGTTAATATTCTGAAAATATGATTTGCCAAATTTATGAGCTATATCGCAAATTCTCTACATTAAAAATCATATTGAACCCAAAGTAAGAAATGTTTTATTTAAATGAATTAGTATATACATTCGGTTAAATATACTTTGCAATATAGGTAAGCTGTTTTATTTAATTCATTAACATTTTAAAGTCCATGGACAGACTTTTTAAGGAAAAATCGGGTACCAACGAACACACCTTATGGATCCCTTTTCCCCCTTTACCCTACTAATTCCATCGCAGCTTTTATTTTTTACATTATTACTGCAAAACATACAATTATGTCAAGAATAAAACTTAGAGCATCTCTCTGTCCTTTGTTTCCATGATCTACCACCAATAATATTGTACTTTTCTCCAAGTATTACCACTAAATATTGAGTTTATGATGATGACCAGTACTCATTTGTGTTTCGTTACAGCTAGTTTCAAAGCTGAAATAGCTGACCGTGATTGTGAGCTGATGGACCCAGCAGTCCCTGCTTCATGCACCCCACAGGACAACATTCCTGCTGATAACGCTATATTGAAATCCGTGTTCTCCAGTCTATCTGATCTCAATGCTGTCACCTTCGTTGGTACCAGATGTGTGGTAGACGAGAAGTCAACAGCAACACATCTGAGTGAAACCAAGATTGTCCTTTGCACGTTCATGCTTCTAATCTCTAACTATTTAAATCATCTTTGATTATAAGAATCGATCATACTTAATTACCCTTTTATCCATGGGATATACTAGTAAGCTACATAATTATTAGAATAAATTATAATTAGACCATCATCCAGGAGATATCATTCACTGAATATTTTTCTTCATATTTCCCGCTTTGATTTTTATTGATATGTAATCAGAGGTCATGATATTACACTACCTTTTCAGGCTTTTTCATACATATGACCAAATATGACTTTGCTTTTCCTGCAAAAAATATTTTTAGAAACGATTTTCCAATGTATTTCTATTTCAAACTATATGTCATATAAATATGATCAATAGTGGCTTTGCTGTTTTTGAGATTTTTTTTTTCTCTCCAATCAAATAAAATTACTGAACTAACAGTTCTTTTGTTCTCATTTCCTAATGCGCTATGTTCAGTGGCGGAACAACTCAGACAGTTTTACAAAGTTAAAATAAAGCGAATGGAAAGGGAACTATGTTTAAAAATTTTTTTACAAGAAGTCATGTTATTTAACATATTTTATTGTAATAAACATAAACAATGAAATTGAGTCATGTTTTTGAAGTGAGCATATTTTATTGTAATAAACATAAATAATGAAATCGGGCATAAATTTTTAAAACTCAATTCTCTGCCTCCATACAGTGTCATGAAAAATGTATACATTTAAATTATCAAATATGAAATAACCTTAAAAACAGGGATTACTGCTTGAATTATTGTATCAAACAACATAATACTGGGACTGAGTGATTAGTATTTTATTTGACTGAATGGGCCACGACCGCTTCAATGCAGGAGCCGATACATCAATATACTGCCTTTTGTAATGGCATCATTAGACAAGTGGCCCAAGGGCATTGAATCGCTCTTCTGATAAATTATACAATCTATCCTAAGACCCAAGATGCATCAACTAATATTTGATAATTCTTAGCAAGTTAGGACTGAAGATATTTCAATCTTACTATAAAATACTGTAAGTAGGTTATGGTCATGGGCGGATACAGGATTTGCGGTTAGGGGGGGGCGTGGATAAATTTGTTGAGGCAAGGGGTCTGGGGGCCGCCTTAAGGCCCCCAGTGGGTCCAGGGCGAAGCCCTGATGGGGGCCCAGGGGGCGAAGCCCCCGGAAGCTCCTGGGTTTTCGTGTATTTTAGAGTAAAACCAGGCACTATATTAGTGCATATTTTTCAATTTTTTTTGTTAAAAGTGGCATATAGGTTCGGATGTTTGAATGATAATATTGTATTGAATGTTTCTCAGTTCTCATTGTATTGTAACACATGTCACCATAATAAACGATTTACCTTAGTACTTACTAATAGTGGTATTGGTTAGTGATGTAACAAAGTACGCCGTGTTTAATACTAGTTATATCATACTTTGAATGGGGGGACCAGGGGGCGCAGCCCCCGGAAGCTCCTGGATTTTTGTGTATTTTAAGAGTAAAACCAGGCAGAATAACAGTGGTTTGGTTGGTTTTGTACCAAAATGTGGCATTATAAATATTAGTCACATCATAGTTTGAAAATTTTAGGGGGGGGGGGGGCGTGCGCCCCCCACCCCCCCTTAAATCCGCCAGTGATGGTGACATACTTTTTAATTTTAATTTTCTGAGGACACAAGATACATTAACTGACAAAGATTGATGACTTTTCGATCATCATTCTCTAAAAATCCAAGATGATTCAATTGACAAAGTTTGATGATTCTAAGCCAATAAGAACCCAATATAGCTATATATAGCCATAAAATGTCAAAAGAAGGTCAGAGTGACCTACTTTTTGGTCGACCACCGAAAACCCAAGATGCATCTACTGACAAAGTTTGATGATTATAAGCCAATCTGTACCTGCGATATTCAAAAGTAGGTCACCGTGACCTACTTTTTGATCGACATACTCCGGAAACTCAAGATGCCTCAAATGACCAAGTTTGATGATTCTAAGCCAATTAGAACCTGAGATACTTAAATATAACCATAAAATGTCAAAAGTAGGTCACTGTAACCTACTTTCTGGTCGTCAATCGCCGAAAACCCAAGACGCATGACAAAGTTTGATGATTCTAAGCCAATAAGTACCTGAGATACTTAAATATAGCCATAAAATGTCAAAAATAAGTAACCGTGACCTACTTTTTACAAAGTGCGATGTGGTTCACAGGCCTCGTGTTACTTTGTATATTAAAACAAGATGATGGGTCTTACGTGTATAATGGTTTCCCTTTTATGACAGGACCGGTGTTAGGTTGCAGGATATCACTCCAACTGGCCAAATTGACGACTGAGGACGTCACGTGACAATTGACCATGGCGGTCATGCTTTGCTAGTGGGAAGAAAAAATAGATCAAAATCGGAGTTAAAAGTGTCAAAGTGCCGAAAAAAGGGTCAACAGTTTATCATTAACTTTGAGTGGAGGTATTGAAGCTTTTTTGTGTAAGTATCTGCTTATTTGGAACTTTTGGTAAATAACTGTGCACCGCTGTGTATGCAATGTCCAGTCGTGAGTTGAAATCACAAAAAAGAAAGCCGGAGTCTAAGTCTAAGGGAACTGAGAAAATGCCGTTCCCCTCCACTAACTTTGGAACTTTAACCCCATTCAGTGTACCGTTTGCTCCTTGCCCTGAGCAAATAGCGGACCCTTTTAAAACTTTAGCAAGTCTATCACAAGCCGTTGGAGATATTAAGGCTGATCTATGGGAACAGGACGGCTTTGAAGACAAGGTACAATTCATTGCACAACAGCAGAAAGACAATATAACAGAGATAGAGAGTCTAAAATCTGAAAATGCATCCCTACGTAAGGATCTTGAAATGTTAAAATCGGTTGTAATCAGACTTGATAGAAGAGTCACAGAACAAGAGAAGGAAATTATTGATTTGAAAGGGCGATCCATGAAAAACAATATCCTTATACAATACATAACCTGGAAGAAGAAGAAGGAGAAGATCTATTCAGCAAAATTCCCCGCCTGCTAAATGAACACCTAGATTTAGAACGAATAGAGTTCGTTAATATCCATAGGAATACGGGGGACAGAAGGCAAGGAGATAAGCCCCGGGTTATAACAGGCCGGTTAGTGAGATTTGAGAACAAAGACCGTTTACTGAATCAGCAGAGAAAAAAGAAAGATGAAGGGAATATTCTACCATTCTATATCACCCCCAGTCTCCAGTTCAAGTTAACGAAACTTGCAGAAAACTGGTTGAACTCAACAGCAAATATTGGAGCGAAAATATCAAAACGAGAGTTGTGGGGGACAAATTGGTTTTCCCGAATGGGTCCGTTTACAGAGATAAAGTGAAGACACCAAACGCCGAGGAAATTCTACAACTTGACCAGAAAGAACAACAAAAACTAGAGGAAATTGAAGTTAAACGCTCTATCACCCACACAGAATCAGGAAACCAAATTAGTGCTGCTGCAGTTGAGGTAGAGACATATGCAAAAGTTCGGAACTTCTACAGGAAAATTTCCATGGATCCAGTTTATGGGCGTGCAAATCACAATATACTGGTATACCGT